AAGGATCAAAAAAGAAGAATGAGAATTAGATTCCATAGTGTTTCCCCAGGTGGTTCCTCATATTTCTCATACAGTAAAAAACTTAGTAAGGAAAGGAAAGGAAAGGTGTGGAGAGGATGAGGGTTTAATGAAAACAACAGAGCGAGGAGGTATGACAAAGCAAGATATAGAGGAACCAGCAAAATATACTGTAACAGATAGTAGCCAAAGACAGGAGGAACACAAGGAAGTGATGTTATAAAGACAGAGCAAGAACAAACATAGAATGAGTGCTGTGCTGGAGTAATACAGAGACGAGAGATGGAGGTAGATGAATGATGAATGTAGAGTAGGTGCAGGAAAAGCAAAACACCCAGGGCTATAAGGCGGTAAGGGAGCAGGAAGAAGAGATGAGTTGTCTTTGATGAGAAAAGCAAGTTAAATGCAAAAGGACCAATTGCTCTCCATAGTGAGAAGAGGGCTGGTGGGTTGACAAATCAGCGGGGCAGGTGTCACAGAAGAGAGATGGAAATGACAGAACTCAATTAGAAGAAAACAGCAGGTGAAGAAGTGAGCACACAACTGTGAAGAATTAAACTAAAGGTTGATATCTTAGTCATGTTTGGATTTTTTTAAGAGGTGAGAAAGTCAGGTATAAACTTGAAAACAGCTGTAGAAGAATCCAATCTAATCCCACTGTTCTTGTCCAAGCCTATTCTGACTGAGCTCTGCTTTGCAGGGGGTATCTTTGAGTCTTGCTCTTATCTCGCATTTTTTCCATCACTGATCCTCTCTACCTGAACGTCCTGTTGTGACTGGAGCATGTGTAACAGCTTTCCTCTGCTGTTGCCTGGCACCATACCTGCTTCAACATCAGGAAACCTTTGCAGGTGTAGCAACAGCAGCAAGCTTCTGACAACATCACTGGGCGTCTTTCTTGCTGCTTCTCCATCTCTGACATCCTCCCTGTCTGATCTAATGTAATGCATCTATTGGTCCATCGGCAGGTGCAGATGCTACTTTTTCCAAGAAGTTCTATGTGAATTTTTTTGTCTTTTCGTGTTTCTCTTTTCTTTTAATATATACACTGATATTTTTTCTATCAGTTACTGTACCCATTAACAGCTCTGGTTTTAACAGCCATTTGACATATTTGCGGAAACAAATGAGGGATGCAAGGAATTTTATAGTTAAGGCCAAGTTATATAGAAAGCTAGGTAGACTATAAGTAGAAATAAGTTTTAAAAATATATAAAAAACAAAAATGGGGTGCCCCAAATGTTACAGCAGCGAACCATGTAAACATGTACAGTGCATGCATGACATCAGTGGTCTGAGTCTGGCTGCTGATCTTTGTTGCAGGTCTCCATCCTCTCTTTCTCTCTTTTCTGTCCATCTCTCCACAGTCCACTGAAAATAAGGGCAAGATATCCCCCCAAAAATAACTTAAGTAAGCAGATAGACTAACAATTGCAAAAGTAAGAATATGAATAAATTTTAATCAAGACAATAAACTTTAAATCATAAACATTCATTGACAAAAATTGCCAGTGTCTATTCAGTGGACTTGCCTTTGAGGTTTGATTTGTGTTTTTAAATCCCTCAGGGATCATGAATATGTGCATATCCACATCAGTTTCACTGCTTTTAGCTTAGTTCTAAAACCGTTTAGACTTCATGTTTGTCCACATGAACACTGTAAAGATAATAATTCCATTTTGTATGTTTTTCTTACCCCTTAACGGGTTTTAAGGATTAACTTCCTGTGTGTTTCTGTTGTTTTGTCCATACATTTTAAATCAAAATTACAAACACAATGACACAGGTTAATCATATTATACTTCAACTGCCATCAGCAATACTATACTGTATGTCGGCTTTAAGAGCTAACGGACAATCACCAATATCAAGTCAAAATCATTTAAGCACACTGCAAGACTGAAAACCACGGCAAGGAGAAAACTCTCACAAATCATTCAAACCTGAACCAAATACATGAATGCTACAGTAAAATAGAAAGGAACAACAGTAGAGCCACAACAGTAACTGACTCTTAATAAGATATTTGCTTGACAACAACAAGAAACTTCAGCCTTAAAAATGAGTTCAACAGATACCAAACATAAATCAAAGCCACCATTACTGCGGCAGTATGGCGGTGGATTGCATTCCATTGTATGGTGTCCCTGCTATTTTGCCCTTCTTGAGTATGTCGCCCCTCTATTATTGGTTCATTGACTCCATTCTTCTGTTCACCAGCCCAGCAAATTGAAATCTATGAAAGTTATTAGACTTTATCAATTTCATTCTCTGTTACCCTAAACTGGACCATATTTCATCATCATTGCCTGAACTAATCCTCACCGGGCATACAAATACATAGAAATTCATACATGCTAGCATATACAAACACTTTATTTGGCTTCTGAGACAAAATGGTGTTGTCAGATTGAATTAGCTTTGGTGCAATGTCATTTTTTTCTTAGGATTATAAGGAAATATTCCTTCTTTTAATCCTCCTACAGACCATGCCCTTATAGAAAAAAATCAACATGTTGTCACTCCTTTACACTGATGATTTTTAGGATTCATTTGAAAAGTGGGCTTGAACAAGAATGTGTGAATGTGTTACATGCAGGCGGTCAGAGATAACCAGGGGCTCACACGTCAACTGTGCAAAGTGATGAGAGTCAGAACACAAGCTTTAATCTTTGCCCAAGAGATCTACTCATAACATTCCCCAGATACACAAGCCAGCACAGACACACAGATAAATAAGTCTTAAAGTGTACATAAACTGCTACACTGTGACGCTGACACCTGACTAAAGGATTAACATGATCAGGATGATGAGGGGTGGGAGAGTAAAAGCTGCTTACAGAGCTGAAGAGCAATAAAGTTGGGGTCAAGAGGAGCGTTCATAGATAGCATCGTCATCCTTTTAACCTTTTTATCTGCACAAACACTCTACTGTTTCCAGCACCAACTCACCTCCATCTGCTGGTCAAAATGCTTATTAAAACTCTGACACTGATGCTTGTGTATCTAGCTGGATTTGGGATTTGAGCAGCACAGAGCCAACAATGTGTTCTCTGCCCACTCTGTGCAAACTGTCAAGTGTTACAGCCAGCATGATGCTTTGTGTTTAAGTTTGCTGATGATTCACTTATTGTCTGCCTTCTAGATTGTGGCACAGTGTTCCTGGTGTCACTGTTGACTGCTGTGACAAGACATTTTACAGACTAATATGACTGAAAGGCTAAAAGTAACCATTTATGTGCTATCTAAGGCAGCTGAACAAATACTTTAGAGTGACTATAAGTTAAATCTTGTTACAGCAGCTTTTTTCTTCTCAGAAAATAAGTTTTCTCCAAGAATCAGATTTTGATGAGCATGTTTCACAAAGACTACAGTACACAGTCCCTTTACGCTACAGTTTAGGGTGCAGAAGCATCATAGCCACCTCAGTTTGCCTTCCATTTAATGTCTTAAGTTGAATTATATATTGCAAAACATTTCAAGGACTACATGAAACAAAACACTTCTTCCTGTGAAAAGACAGAATTACCAAACTTTTTCAAACAGTTATGAATATGATTAAATAGTCTTGAGAATATGCTAGGCCAAAAGAAAAAAAAGTTACAGCTTCCACCACAATGTTTTGCTTTGCACTTACTGGAAGTTGTCAGCCCGTGTAAAGAAAATGCAAGGCAGAAGAGAAACAGAAACTGCATTAAAAGGGTGAATTGGACAGCCAGTCACACCCTATGGTTAGTCAAATGGGCACTTATAGGAGCCAACAGTGCTAGACGGTAGAGGCTGCTCAGCCATAGAGATCAACCTTCCTCTTTAAAGCTCTACTTGATGATAAGGAGACGACGGGGTGACAGTTCTTTTAATGATGTCAGTGATCTTATTTTATCCATGATCTAATCTGCACTCAGTAATTTCACCAACATTTATGTGATTAGTGTTTTCTTTGTGGATTTTGTCATTTCCATTTGTGAGTGCACTGCATTTGAAGCTGAACAGTTTGGCTCAAGGCCAAACAAAATTACTTTGGCTTAGAGAAGTCTGGGTATTGTTTGTGCTAATAGGAAATGTTGCAACCGTTGTTCTGTATACTATGTGTATTGGGGAGTAGCATCGCATGTGAATGGGATACACATCCATCCATCCATCCATTATTTATATCACTTATCCTGTAGAGAGATATGGGGGTGCTGGAGTTGATCCCAGCCCACACTGGGGGAGAGGCAGAACAGTGGTGGAAGAAGTACTCAGATCCTTTACTTAATTAAGAGTACCAACACCGAAGTGTAAAAGATACGCTAGTAGAGGTCCTACATTCAAAATGTTACTTAAGTAACAGTACATAAATATTAGCATCAAAATATACTTAAAGTATAGCAGCAGTAAAAGTACTCATTATGTAGAATGGCACATTTAACAGTAATGTACTGTATATTATATTACAGGATTGTAATTCCTGATTTTGCAGCTGGTAAATATGGAGCTAATTTTACTTTGAATTATTGCTGGGCAATGGATTTCCCACCATGGATCATATAAGTAACTAGTAACTAATGTTATCAAATACATGTAATAGATTAAAAAGTACAATATCTGTCTCTAAAAAGTGCAGACAAACAAACAAACTTAAACCCAGAATGTTCTTGCTGTGACGTGACATTGCGAACCACTGCACCAATGGGATTCACAAATGTGGCTAAAAGTGTTGAGTTTAACGCTCAGTGCTCCTAGAAAAGTATAGAAAGCATGCATACCTGCATGCCTTTGGCAACAAAGAAGCTGTGAAGAGATAAATTGCTGCTTATGCCACAAAGATCTTCAAATATGGCCTGAACAAAATAATTGGCAATCATTTTTCAAGCAAACTATTTGTCCTCAATTTGTATCACAGGTGTATTCAATCTTATAATCAGTTGTTCAGCCTATTTAAATGGAGAAAAGTATTCACTGTTTGCTTTGCTATTGTGTGCTCCACACTGAATATGGATAAGGGAAAGGAAGAGAAGAGTTGTCAGAGGAGATAAAGAAAGGAACAATTGTCCAGCAAGGTAAAGTTTATGGTCTGTGGGGCCGTAGCCACCAGGAAATCTACTGACCAACCAGCCACCATCCCAACATTGCCATCCCTAGTGTGGCTAAAACACAAAGCATGTTGTCTTGGATCAGAAAGTCAGAGACTCACCAATGAATGATGTCTCGCCCAGGTAGCCTCTCCGTCTGAGCACCACCTCCAAGAACTTGTCCTCCTCGTCCACCACATAGTAGTCCTTCTCCAGAGAGATCCAGGCCCAGTCCAGGTGGAACTGCTGTCCGTTTAGCTTGTTCCCTCCTGGACAAAATGCATAAGGAAATTTGATTATTGCTCTGTAAAACTGCTGTTTTTTTTTCATTTAAATATCAAAGTCATTATAATTAGCTGTTTAGTATTTATCTAGCTGAACGGAGAAAAACAGTTGCTTCTTTCATAACTCAAATGTGTAAATACAGTACTATTCATTATCACTGTGAAAAAGGTAATGCTGTATGTTTATTTATCATATTTAATTAGAAAGGAAACAGTGAAGGGATATCCTGTGACCTACAGTAAAGGGGCTATTACTATAAAGCTGTAATGGAGAAAAAGTGTTTTAATTATTTTCAATGTGTGGTCCAAATATACATGACTCTTCTGCAGCAGAATATTTAGAAATATGTAAAAGAGAAACCATCAAGTCCTATACCTTCTTATATATAACAGTCAAAGTTTTCATGTGCAATTAGAATTCAGTTTCCTCTTTGATAAACAGCTTTTTCTTTTCTTCTTGCTTCTGCAAAATTAGAATATCATCCTCAGGATTTGCAAGCTAATTAGTGTGTAAAGAAGGGTTTGCAGAGTAAACGGTTGTGTTAGTTTTAAGGTAATACTCAGATTACTCAGTAGTTGCCACTACAGTGGACAGAAAGGATGCAGCCTTGTGTGGCTAATTTGCTGAAAGGGTGAAGTTCCTTAGTACTGAATGGAATAATGAGAAAACTTTGCAAAACTGGGATAAAAAAGTGGAGGAAGGATGTATTTTTCTTCCCATGAGTGTTAAACTAAATGTATGAGTGTGTGTGTTTTACTGGCAGAGGTGAGCACAAACCTTATGCACAGACTACAGAAAGGAAATCTCATTTAGTTCTATTGAGGACAATTTTAAAGTTGTCTGTTCTTTCAAATCATTTATGCTTCTTAAAGGCTGAAGCAGCATGGCTGTTTAAAGCACACAAAGCATAGCACTTCACTTCCACCACCATAAAGGTCGTCGACGGCAGCAGAGCAGCATCACTATTCAAACTCCTTGTGCAAGAAAGGGGGTAATCCTGCACTCTTATAACAGATCAAATAAAAATATTTAAAGTACATATCGTGATCAATAAAATAAATAGTATCATACAACGTGGAGCTGATACCTTCCACCTTTGCAACTATATGTCCAGAACCTTTTCTGACATAATACTGACATGGCGCTAAAACGCAGCAGAGGTGAAAAGTTCAGCACTCTCCAGCTTGGCACACGACAAGACACTGAGGTCAGGAAACAGCTTAAACAATCAAAGCTCAATGATTCTCCAAAAAGCCTGTGGGCCAAGTGCAGGCTTTACTTAGTGGGTGCAAATAAAAAATGGCACACATACACCCACACAAACACACACAATGCTTCTAATCCAACTTCGCTGCAACCTTGACTTTCATCCCAGTTCTGTAATAGTAGCTGAAGCATAAGCCGCCTGAAATACTGTGTGCACTTATGTTTGTGTCTGTGTGTGAATGTTTGTGTGTTTACAAGTTCTTCTATATGTGACCTCCCACCAGCGGCTAGGGAGCTGTGCACAGACAATAGGGGTCTGAGTCAGACAGCCTCATTCCTCCAGCATTTTTGAGGGATAGAAGACCTCTCACAGGTGCTGCCTGTACAAAAAAGCAGCTTTGAAATCATCCTCAATAGAGCTAAATTCACTTTACACCTGCTTTCAAATACTTTCCCAACAAAAACTCACAAAAAGGATTTTATTTTTAAATCAAAAGGTCTGTAACTTAAGAATGTACTTGTTGGCCTGCACGATGCTCTAGTAATTATTGTAATTATTGACAAAATAGACTCAGCTCTTCCAACACCAGCTGATGATGTAGTAAACAGTCTAAAAATACTCTGTTACAAGTAAAGGTCCTCCATTCCAAATGTTACTTAAGTAAAGTACAAAGTATTGGCATAAAAACATACTTAATTATTATGCAGAATGGCCCATTTCAGATCATTAAATATCATATTATTGAATTATAATTGCTGATGCATTATTGTGTATGTTGCAGCTGGTAAAGGGGGAACTAGTTTTAACTGGCTTATATGCTTACACTTTGAAGCACTTTACATAGTGTAATTTGTTATATTAATCTGGTTTTGAAAAGTAACTAGTAACTAAAGTTACTGTAAAATAAATGTAGTGGAGCAAAAAGGAAAATATTTGTCTCTAAAATGCAGTAAAGTAAAGTACAGATACCTCAAAAGTGTACTTAAGTACAGTACTTGAGTAAATATACTTAGTTACTTTCCACCACAGTACAGCTCAAATTAGATGTAAAACAAAACAAAGGAGGTGTCACTTCAGTTTCCTCTTGAATAAAATGTGTGTTTTTACACAGAGTATCAGTGCAAGCTCCAATCCTTTATATGCACCGGCCTCGATTCTCTCCCTTTGGGCTTAGGGAGACGATTGAATGTTTCAGGTCATGTAAAGTAAAAAAAAAATTGTTAGTGTTAAAATCAAAATGGACTTGAGAGGTATTTTTGATTTTGTACAAAAGAGTCCACTATCAAATTCTCTGAGCTGTGTCAGAGTCATATGATTTGAGTCCACAGGGCTACCATGCATGTTCTCTCTGGGTCAGCATGAGAACAAATTAAAAAGTCAGAGATCAAAAAACAGGATAAGGCAGCAAAAATATCTCTGAACATCCCTTTACTGCCATTTGCAGCCTAGCTATGATTGTAGCCTACTATGTGTAAGTGTAGATGTTTTACACAATGTGCATTACTTATATTATACTCTGTGCTGTAGGTTACATATCACTGAGTCACACAATTAAGTTTGATATTTGGACAACAGAGAAATCAGGTGTGCAATCATCACTCAGTAAATACATAATGGCCACTACTGGGCACGAAAAATTTATGGAGAAAGCGCTTATCCTGCAACCCCAAAGAGACCAGCTTGTGATCTCAAAATTGCCACATTAAATCTTCAGATCCCTGAAAATGCTTTTTCAAACTCTTCTCCAACACAGTCATGCTTGTCCAATAAAAGTAACTCACATTTATGAGAAGGGCACACAAATAAAAGGTGGAACTATCATTCACGGGTTTTGGGGATGTGTGAAGCACGTGTCTGAGAAGGTGGTGAAAAGAGAGAGAAACAGACAGACAGACAGACAGACAGACAGACAGATAGATAGATAGATAGATAGATAGATAGATAGATAGATAGATAGATAGATAGATAGATAAACACAATTTTTTTTATTCAAAATAGAATGTGAGACTGAGCTATCAGCTATACTCCTAAAAAAATCAGGGCTGTCTTGAGTTTCATTTGTATGTTTCAGCATGTGCATGTCTGAGAATTCACACCCAAAATCAAAGGGACTTTTTCACAGCAAGACAATGCCGTCTGCTGCTCAGTGCATCTATTCTGCTACTGGCGGTGTGGCCCTTCCCTCACTGTTACATCTCCATCTGCCTTCTGTATTCCTTTGTATATGAGTCCCTGATTCCCAGTGCAACTGGCAACCAAGCAGCTATAAGCAACCAAACTCAGTGATGTCTCTCACTATGGAACACATTTGAGGAACCCAGGACTAAGACAATCGCAAAATCTGCTATTTATGCAGTTGGTATTGTGTTATGCTTTCACAAAGAAGCACTCTAACACTTTTTCTGATAAAACAGACCAATGTAAGAGTAGTAATAGGAGCCCACGCACTATCCATCTGACAGGAGTGCCACTCTACATAAATTTTAATGGTTGAAAAAAATACAAATCTCTCACACCCCCTCTGGATGCTTCAATACCTTTTTGTTTTTCCTGACAGATGTGTGGCAGTCACTGTAATGCTGGTAGGCTTGGCATATGTGCAACCAGAGGCAAGGGGATCACAGCTGCTGTGATGGGTTCTGCACATAGCCAATTGTTTCTTCTACAAGAAGTGGACATTTGAGGCCATATATGTATCAGACTAAAAGCATGTCATGTTACAGGTCTTTTATTAGCATGTGAATGCCATGTCTGTGCATACTATATGTACACTTTAACCATGACAACTGGCTTCAGCGTGGATAACTCCTGAAGTGTAGTGGGATATCAAAAAAGTGACCAGGGATTCATGGCCCTGAGCAAACACAAATATTTAAAATGCAGCTCAACTCCAAGGCAAACAGAAAGCTAATGTGTGTGAGGTTTCTTTGTTTTTAAATTACCAGGTTTAAGTACATTTGTACATTAAGTGCATAATGCTTATGCACATTAAGTCCACAGGTACATGCAGAAAGAATCATCAGTGCCAGCATTGCCCTCCATGGAGGACCTGTACACCTCATGGGTCAAGAGGAGGGCAGAGAAGATTTTTACAGACCTTCCTCCTTCTAGGCAATTCATTATTAGCCTGCTACAACCATTACAAGTCCTCTAACTACAACATATTTTAGTGTGGTTCTAATAACAAGCAATAATGGGCCATTAAAAGGTGTGACAATACCCTGCACCCCCGCCCCCCGCAAAAGAAATAAAAGTTAGGTGCAGAATAATGTATTTTTTTCAACAGCCAACAGGCATGACTGTATTGCAGTAATACCCTAAGCAACCCTGTACATGAAGCCATGAGAAACATCTGGGGGCACAGGATCCTCACTCCTTTGATGTTCTTGTCAGACATTTAATAAATGTAAGGTTTTATCCACTGATGTCTACAAAGAGACCCATACATGTCTCTGGGCATAGTTTAAAGGCAGAAGGCCTGGGGACAAAGAAATGACTATTTCCTTGAGGTGTATGTGTGTGTCTGCTGTTGTACAGTTGTGCATGTGTGTGTACATACATCTGCATCTGCGTAACGCATAAAGCATTTGTTCTCCTGCAGAATCTTTTGTGCTTGAGAGAGGTCAAACTCTAGCATTCAGCACATCTTCCCCTGCCACCTGCCAATTTAACAGAGGGATGGGTTTAATGTATTTCACACTAGTTACTGGCACCCTGAGACCAAACTGCGGCCAAGCAGGGAGATGATAATCAGTAAATATCTGTTTCTCCTTGCCA